TTAACCCTTTGACCGCCACGCTAATAACGAAAAACCGTGCTCCCGACGCCAAGCAATAAATTCGTTGTATTATACCTATAAAAAAATAGTGATGGGAAACGCAAACCGATAAAACATCGATACATTTTGTTTGTGCATAGTTTACAAATAAAATAATGCTTATACAACTGAAGTTTTACTAATAATGAAATAAAAAAATATTTAGTTTATCATTATTAACCCTTAGACCGATAAAAAAAACCTTTGAATCAATAAAACATCGATACATTGTGCTTGTGTACACGGTTTACAAATAAAATAATACTTTTACCATTGAAGATTTAGTTTATGATCAAATACCTTACATTAGTGTATATGTATATGCCTCTGTAAATATTGATTTTGCATATAAAAATAACATATTACCCTATTTTCCCGTAACTAGTCGACGCTTTAAAGCGTCAATGGCGTAGGAGAGGGGTAATTTTGTCATAAAAACGTAACATAGACAGTGATGTGATGATAGATTTATTAATAGTTGTCGATATTTATTATAATCAAAGTATGACAATAAGTTCTGCGTTAGTGCAATATTTCTATTTCATGATACTCACGAAAACATGTAACACAAAGAGGCACTTTACAAATTTCACACCAAAATCTTGTATCTCGCCTTTTGCGTTTCAAATTACTACATAATTTACAACGTAATTTTTTCGAATCCGGTAAATATGCTGGCATGTGGCGTGCCGCATTTCCTATTAATCGTAATGGTTGGTCTACATTTCGTGAAGTCATCGGTAAGGTCTTGTCTCCTGCGTACTTTTGGATAATTTGTGTTACGACTGCCAGTTGGTACTTGGCAAAACGTAGTGTTTTGTTGTCTTGCAAAACTTTGTAGTAGTTGTAACCGTTTAGCAAATAGAGGTCAATTATATGAAAAAATAACTTTTTGTACCATTTCGTCACTTTTCGAATACTGTGTAAAGAACTTAACATCATGTCATTCAAGTCAATGATTCCCATGTGTTCGTTGTAATCTATAACACATTCGGGTTTCATTTTTGGTAAACCTGTGGACCGATCAATTTTTTCAGTAGGTCCCATTTGATCTTTATGCATAGTAGTGATCATGTACACATCTTTTTTGTCGTGCCATTTTAGAGCCATTATATTGGGAGCATATTTCACATCCCTCTCGCCTTTTTTCAGTTTCTTGAATTCAGGCATTTCTTTGCGATTACGTTTTACAGTTCCACAAGCACCTATATTTCGATTTAATAAAGAAATAAATAATTTGGGGCTGCTGTACCAGTTGTCCATATAAATTTGTCTATTCGAAAAGTAATATTTTTGTAAAAAGGTAATAACTATTGATCCACTTACACCTAGGTCTGCATCGCGTATTATTTCAGTTTCTAAACCAGTATATATGATAAAATCCAATATAATTCTCGTTTCTACATCACATAAGACAAACAGTTTAATGCCGAATCGATTACGCTTATTAGGTATATATTGTTTGATAATTAACCTTCCTTTAAATGGAACAATACTTTCATCAATACATAGCTTCTTGTACGGAATAAAATTAGATTGAAATTTTTGTCTTGCGTCATCTACCACCGTTATTATCTTTGACAATATTAGGTCATTGGCATGCCTTGGTCTCGGTTCAGAAAAATGCAACATTCCTAATATTGTCGTATAACGATTTCTACTCATTAGAGTTGTGTAAATTGGAGAATTCAATAGCGGATTTGTTGACCAATGCTCTTCAATCGTTAAGCGACTGTTTCTAGTCATTAACATAGTAATAGCCAAAAATATATACATTTCTGGAACGGTTACATCTTTCCAAGTCTGCAGCCTCGAGTGGTTCCTCAAATCCGTGTTTAGTATGAAGTAGCAATGATACCGATTAGTGTAGCGTATTATTGTTTTTATTAACTCTTCGTCCACGAACTTCTCAAAAACTGCTAATTCGTTTGAAGATGATGTTAAGTTTAATGAAGGTGAAATACCACTACCAAAGTCATCAAAAAAAGGAGTTTCTATTCCAAATGGTTGTCTTGTCCATTGAATAGGAGGTGGTCCTGGTATGTTCTCAACTATATCACTTTCATCCTGAACATTTGGAGGATTTGATGCTGGGAGGTTCTCAGTTAGTACAGCCTAAAAAAGATAAATGAATATCAATTAAAATTAATTATTAAGGACAGTAGTCCTTAGACAGTAAACTTTAAAGTTAATAAACGATTTTATTATGATTTATTATGGACAGCCTCGGTAGTCGAATAGTTTAGGTCGTTATTCCCACATAACACACACATTTGTGTTTCTGTCCGAGTGTAATTTGTACCCGTAATTCTTAGAGTACTCCGTGACACAGGGCGTAAGGGAGCTAAAAAACGCTAAACTAAATTTCGGGCATGCCGTCCAATCTCAGCGGAGTATAACTTGTAATGTTAGAAGTAGGTTTGTGAACTTAGAAATGACTCACCTCAAATTCATCTTCAATTTCACTGTCAGATGCAGATTCAATTTCGATTCCATCATCGACACCTTCTAAAATACGAAGGAGCTCCTCGTGATCCATATTTATCTTTAATAAAAACGCGTAACACAAAACGATCTGCTAGTGAAATACTTATTGCAGTTATAATAATAATTTGTCTTGAGGGTACATCGATAAAATGTTATTTTTTCCTACCGTCAAATCCCAACACTATAACAACCAACGTTCTCGCTTGTGACGTCATAGGCGGACGCTTTAAGTCGTCAACGGCGTTCACGACATAGAAAAATGTGTGATTATTAGTAATGTTCGAATAAGTTGTCGATGTTTATTTAAGTAAAGGGAAAACTATAATGTTACAAGGAAACTAAGTACCTAGGTAAATAAATTATATTTATAGATCAATGTATGTCGGTACTGCAAACAAATATACCTACTTAATACATATTAGTTAGAAACTAGGCACTATGTTAAATAATAAATATTATATTATATTGAGAAAAAAACTATTAAGAATATTCTTTATTTTTTCATCTTCAAACATATCGAAACCTACTGTTTCTCTGTGTCTGATAAATCTATGTTTATTTCGTCAAAATGAGCGTTCTTTGCATGCTCTAAAAAATTCAATATTTTTATGTAGCAACGTGAACGAATACACGGTTTAATGTACATGAATTCTTCATTTAGTAATTGACAATAATAGTAGTTCCTTTTATCATCACGTTCATATTTGTTACATTCTAAACATGGTCTTGTGATATTTTTTTCAATATTAGTATGTTGAGAAGTTGCAGCTGATGTGGGCTTATGTTTGGCTTGTGTTTGAGCAACTTGGGGTAGGATGCTTGGCGATTGCTCTCTTGGGCGCTTCAAATCTGTGTAAAATCAGTAAGCGATACAAATAATAATATATATTTTTTCGTAAAATTATGTTTAATTAATACGTTACACATGTTGGCTATACTTAAGTAGTCTATTAGAGTTAGGAATTTTATTTACAATACCTATTATCACTTTTGATGTATCGACATTCGAATGGTGGGCCACTATTTCAAAATTATTAAATATTTTGACTCGAGGAATAATAATTTTTCAAGCAAATGCGGTACATACTGTATGCTAATTATATTTTTACTATCAATTAAAAAAAAATGTAAATCAAAGAAAAATAACGTAAACTTACCAGTCTTCTTCTCCATTACGGTTCAAAACGCAGCTTCAAATTTATGCGGAAACAGTAATAATAATATGCTTGTCAACCAAAAATACACAGAGCCGTTTACACGCCTCGCTTTCGACAGTTAGTGTATAATATGACGTAAAAATCTTGACTGGCACCATTTTTGAAACTACCGACCTATTATTATTATTTTTTTTCATTCGAGGGTAGTCACAACACTAGTCGACGCTTTAAGGCGTCGTTGGCGGTGTGAGTGTAACTATATAAGTAAATTTTTTGATGAGTTAATTTTTAGTATTACGTGTCCAATTATACTATAGCTCAATGGTTTAATGCATAATTATAGTAGTCGAAGTCAATATGAAGAGTTTTAAATATTCCTGATTCAGAAAATTAACATTAGCTAAGTTTTATTCGTCATTAAAAGTTGAAATGCGATGTACGCTTTAAGACGTCATTGGCGTCTCGATCAAGTTATTGAATGACGCTTTAAAGCGTCTTTGGCGGTCAAAGGGTTAAGGAAGGTTTGTATGTATAATACATGCATATTGCACCCGTGCGAAGCCGGGGCGGGTCGCTAGTAACCAATATGAATCAAAATAAAATTCAAATTAAATGAGAGAGAGTGTAAGTGTTTTATAATTTTAAAACTATTTACTAATTACAGAAATACAAATAATTACAAAAAAAAAAAACAATATCAAATACAAATTACATGTAAGTCGTAATTATTAATCAGATTCGCTATCAGATTCGCTGGCATCTCTATTCGAATCTTGATCAGAATCTTCTGATTGGCTGCGCCATGTTCAAATTTGTGGTTTCTTTTGCAAAAATAAATTTAATTGGACGATAATACCTGGTTGAAGATGGCGAAGGGTTTTGGCAAACAATTTTTTTTGCATTTTGTTTTCCTTCTGTCATTTGAAGGGGCACCATCGATATGCTAAGCAGACTCTCGTCACTACACTCCTCCTCTGATAATTTCTACTTATATCTATTTTGTGCCGCTCCATCACCACCCCATTTAATTATCAGCTTCAAATTTTTAACATTGTTTAACGTTTTTATCACCTCTTCTTGCACTTTACATAATCGTGTAACAGTATGATCCACCAAAGATTGAAGTTCGATTTCTGCACATGTTTCCGTGACATTAATGTTATTAGGATAACATTGCTCTCTTGCAGCTTTAACTTTATAATATGCTGGATACATTTTAATATTAATTTGTTTTGCTTGTTGCCGTACTACGTTGTACTGGTGCGTTGAGAGATTTGCATCAACAATTAACGCAACAGCTCGGTCTGCCGACAGTTCCACCTTTTTATTCGCGAAACACTTTCGCGCTTTTTTTAAAGTAGTCCCTCTTCGAGGTGAAGCAATAGACAGCTCTTTGACAATGGCTGCTGCTGAGGCTCTTTTTCCCTTGTTGCGAAGTTGGACTTCGGCCGCAAATGACAACTCTCCTTGATCTCCTTCACTTGATGTATCAAGAAGATGTTGAACGCGACGTTTTTGGTTTTGTAGCTGCAACTTTTAAAATCTTTGTGTGGTCTTCCGGCTGGGTTACTAGGCCCAGGTGCTAAATTACTAGCTACACTTTCTGTGACTATATTGTCAAACATAAAATTATTTTCTAACCATTTCGAATTCGCCTTTAAAAAGCGATCTCGATGTCTTCCTGATTTTGACCATTTCTTGTCGATTTTTTGGCTATAACTTCTTATTTTTGCTTTTAATGAATCTTTAATTTCATCTGGTATAGATCTGATAGACATTTCTTGTAATATATGGTTCAGTATTCCATCCACTCTGCACTCTTTCGCGTTGGCGAACCAGATATCGAAAAACGTCAAACGTGACAATTGGTAGGTCATGCTGAAATTTAAAAAAAAATGTATGAGTGTCGCAGCTTTTCGCAAGTTAATACCTATGTTTCTTAGAGTTTACTAGTGCATCTACTAAAAAAATAAAGAACAAGACTGATATAATGTTATATAAGGTATTAAAAAACTGTTACAAACTGTGTTAGGTCTTATTTTGTCAAAGAAAAAAGGATTCGTATTCGTTCTGCTCTAACTATTTAATTTATGGATATTTTTTATAAAAATATTGTGTAAACTTACCTTGACACTCAAACCAAGATGGTCACAACACTTAAACACAACTAGCGTTCACAAACACAGCGTATTCATCGAGTAAACTCAGACGAATGATACAAACGTTCACTTGACGCGACCGGTACGCTCCAGGTCCCGGCCCTTCCAACCCTTTTTTTTATTGTTCGGGGCAACTTCTTGGAAAAAATACTTTATGATCTTGAAATATGGTTCATTATCCCTCATTTTACACAAGCTATGACGTGGTACATAAAAGTGCGTATTTTGAATATTGTCCACCTAGATTTAAAAAATATTGCATTGTGCCGCGGCACGTTTGCGGTGGTTAGTTGCCCAGTCACCACACCAACCGTGCTGTCAATTACTGATCATAAGATAATTTGGAAGTGCAATTATGGATTTAAATCAACCTCAATTTCGTTGAAGTACAATATATTATGGCTTTGTTGCACCACCTGTCTTTTAAGTCACACATCACTATTTCCACAATAAATAAACAAAACACAATACCTGAATAACAAAGGATTCCGAGCATCCAACAGTAGCAATACAACATCAGACTTCTCCAAGGTCCTCCACAATTGCTTCCAGAGCTCCAAGTTCCTCTCATACGGAGTGACTGCTGCTCCCAGCGAGGCTTGTAGCTCGTTCAAGTGACGGCGCCATTCTAGAAACACCTCACGTTCACGGTTCAGCTGATCTTCTGCTGATATGCCTGGGTGCCATGGAGGTCTGAAAAATGTAGTTATTAATAATTATTAATTCTATTGATGGAAACCTGAGCTTATAATTTCAAATTATAAGTTTCAATTTCGCCAACCTGCATTGAGCAAGCGTGGTGATTAACACATGGTATCATGGCCGGAACAAACATTCTCTGCGTGAAAGACCTTTGGTCTGCAGTAGCCACTTATAGGCTGTTGGATGTTTGACTTTGGATATCTTATGTTTAATGGGGGTAGTAATGGAATCCATAGTATTTAGTTGTTTTGTTTTATCTGTTTGCCTACAAACTACTCTAGTACACTAGATTTAAACTAAGATTTGTGTTTGAAATCATGACATGTCAAAATGACTATGTGTGCACTCCGATTTTAAACATGCTGAAAAAATATTTTAAATTATCCTAATCCACCAAGTACGCAGACAGTTTCCATAATAAAAATGAAAACTAAAATATTAAACTTAACAACTCTTCTACACTTGGGAGCAAACAAATCGAGCCACTAACATTATTTTTTAATTTTGTTGAACTCTCTATAACTTAAAAAAAAATATTCCTTTTACAACAAAACACTCTCATTTTAAACAAACAACAAAACACTCCATACTTTACCGATTAATAAAATACTTGTTTCACACAGTGTCTTAGTTTTTACTGTTTTTCCTATCGAAGGACTGCATGCAGAGATTCCTATGGGAATATGTAGTACCTATGTACCTCCAATTTATTTATATATGTATTCTCCTGTCTGTCTGTGTGTTGTGCATAAATAAATAAATAAAAAACGCTATTGGCTCAGGCTGTTTCTTTGTTCCCAAATTTAGTTCAAACTTACCTCCGTGGTACAGTAAGGGGCTGGTCAAAGTTTGGTTGTGAAGTTGCCATTGCCACTTCACTTGGCACAGTATTCACATACTTCAGGTTAAGCTTCTCCGCTGTGAACTCTCTCTGTGCCAGCTCAGCGGTGGAGAGAAACTCTTGTAAAGAGGACTCAGCTGTGACAGACTGGAGGTTCAGACGACCCCAGTCATAGCCGTCGTTGACTTCCGTTGTATGAAGCTGAGAACGATTTAAAAGATAAATTAGATAATCTATGTATAACAGATGCCGGGTCTTTTTCATTGGATGTCTTCTAGGTCAGGGCTGTCCAAATTATAAACCCTTGCGGGCTAATTAAATTTCTTACAAAAGCTGAAGGGCCAGAAAAATGTTTTTAGTTGTATAATGATGTTTAAGATTGTATTCTTTACTCACATAGAAACTTGTAGACAAATCATACACTGAATTTTATTATTGTTGTTGTACATAGATGAAGATATTGAGATTAAAATGTGTGTCACAGGCCACATGGAAACAAGCCTGTTTGGCCTTTTGTTCGACAGCCCTAGGTGCTTACTCTTGAAACCAATCTCAATGTCAAAGCAATTTCAATCCGAGAAAATCTCAATAATGATTCAATGTCAAAACTATACAACCCCTGCCATGGTTTTTTAAATGGCATTCAGAGTACGGAATTTAAAGCCAAACTCGATACTATTTAGTTCATTCAATATGCACGCAATATGGATGAAATGGGCGCTAGTGTTGCAACTTGAGAGTATGAAATTTCTCAATACCAATGTCAATTGATCGGGATTGGATTCAAGAGTAAGCCCCCTGTTCTAGGTCATGGTTCGCTACATTTTAGTGATGTAGCAAAATTGATATGCAAATGGGCTGCATAAGTTTCAGTTGGCATAATAAGATCATTTTCAAAAATTTAATTCCTATAAGAACAAGAACTGGTACTTGCAAAGTTTATTACAATTTTTAAATATTGTTACAACATATTATGCAAGAATCCGATAAAAAATATATCCTACCTTTTTCAGGTAGGATTCTTGAAATGTTTATAAATAAGGTTTTAAATTCTCAGTTGGAATAATAAGTTCATTTTCAAAAATGACAAAAAATATACCTATATAAATAGTTTTTCCCAATTAGAACAAGATACTTTTATTTGCAAAGTTTATTACGATTATTAAATATTGTTACAGCATGTTATGCAAGAATTCAATAAAAAATATCCTACGTTATCCTAATGTTTATAAAGTTCATATTCCGGAACAAAACATAAAATATTATTATGAGAAGTTTTTCCAATTCCAATAAGAACAAGATACTTACCTGCAAAGTTTATTTTTATTTTGAAATAATTGTATATAAATATTGAGGTGTGCAAATATTGGTGAGCCTGTGTCTGCGCATACAGATGTATTGTATGAGTGTTTAGATGGATGTATATGTGTGTGAGTCTAACATTAAATTATATATAATATGCAAGAATACATTTAAAAAAATATCCTACCTGAAAATTTAATATTATTACGATTCAAGGTTATTAAATTGTTAATTATTGTCCATATTGGCTATTGATGTTAAATCAAAAACTAAGAATACAGTTTAGAATATAAAAAATACATTAAATAGGTAGATAAAACATTTAGACCTTAAAAAGTAGTTCAAAATAAATACTAACCATGGTGTTGTCCTCAACATGTTTTCGGTGGCGATTCTTCGCAAATCGGTCCTTAATAAGAGCACGTCCTAAAGAATCTTTATTTTTCTTCCCCATTATAATTTGTTTAATGTATGTTACTGCAAATTACAAGAAATAATCGACATCCAATTTGAAAACGTGCGTGTTCAAAAATGAAATGCGATGAATTTCCGCAAGTGTCAATGTAAAAATGACAGATTGACAGTACCTACTCAAAACCACTGATATGATAAGAGTATGGATAAGAAACAACTAGGAAAAAATCGTGCCTACATAAACTTCACTTGGTCACCTGTAATGGCGGATAGAACTAGGGATGTAACTTTTAAAACTGTAGAAATATCGATATTTTAGAATTGGTTTTAATTGACTTATCAATAAAATATCATTATTTTATGATTCATCTGGATTTAATTTTTATCTAGCTGCTAAACATTACCAACATATTAGCGAAATATATTTAGTAGTTGCTGCGTGCACTGTCACTCCAGTCGATCGTGCCTATACATTCACATCATAACTTTCACGATACTTATGTATCGAAATTCATGAAAAGGATTTTCCATCAACTGGTCAATATTTATATACTTAAGGTTAAGTAATTTTTGAGGGTTGAAAAATAAAACTGTATCAAAGTATTCATAAAATCAAGATTTATAATATACAATATCTTCGTATTTTTCGTAGTGTTTCCCTGTAATGTAATCTGCAAAACCATCTTTCGAGAAGACTCCAGAACTGGTTCCAAGTTCATTTTCATGCACATATCTGGCTAGAGGCTGCAACATAAATAGTATAATTTAACTTACTTGATCCAATTGAACATAGATTTTTCTATAGATTCTATAGGTACTGTACTAAGCTCTGAACGAAAATGTTTGTACATTACAATGATAGTGATAGATAGCGGAGGAAAACAGAAACATATAGGTACAAGAACCCGGTTAGTTATGAACTTAATATAAATGTTAAATAAAATGTTAAGTTTGCACCTCTTCAAAAAATGCTTCCAAAACTAATATAACAAAACACATAATGAATCGTTTACATTATGATTTACCAATAGAGCTTGTAGCGATAGGGCCCCATCACGTAGATTTACTATTAATTTATTGTTCGGTTAAAACATTAATCTTCAAAATAAAGTTAACAAACAAAGATATGTTTCCTTCTAGTATCTATATTTCCCACATTAATTATTTCCAGCCAAGAACTTCTGCGTGGTTCAAGCACAAACTAAAAAGAAAATTTATAATATTATTAAAATTATCGGCAGAGTTCGACACATTCTAATAAATACTCTAAAAATACCCTAAAGTTATATTTCATTGGTTTGTTTCATTTGAATCCGTCGAGCGGCATTTGATAAAAAAATCAATTTTGACAAAAATGCATTTCCCACAATATTATTCCTTATCTCATATTGTACAAAAATTATTCTCTATTGTATTAATTCTTTATTACATTACGTAGGTATTGACGATGGTGGAATTTTGTCGATAAAATGAAATTTTTGACGAGTACTTAATGTTTTTTGTATTTTGTCATTATGTCAAATTAATGCACTATATCATTCAGAATTTAGTATAGTTCTTTGTTCTACTTTTGACGCATTTATTATGTACGATAAAATTATCGATACGGGAACAATCATGTACATCACTATTTTTTAATGAAAATTGTTTTAGACGTATTTCAACTAAAATTAATGAAAATAAGCACTGCATTAGTTAGAAAAGTATTGTATTTAGTCAATTTGCAGCAACCACACTTGAATAGTTTGAAAAACAGAGATATTTTAATGAAAAATAACAGTACTTACCGATGTAATGTTACACCTGCCGGTTTACTAATATTTTTAGTGCTACATCCAATAACACTGCACCCGGGCATAGTTCTTCTCACTAACCAATAATTTCTTTGTTTACCACGCACAAAAACAACAGGAATTCTACAAATTTTCGTAAAAAAATATTGTTGACCAATGCTTTGACAGCTGATGTACCACTGACATGCACTGATAACAGGGACTAAGATGGCCAATTTGGCACAACTAGGTTTTTCTGATGACGTCAAAAAATTATGGCCAGAATGACAATAATGTGTTGTCTCTTTCTGCATAAACAAAGAGACATAAGTAAAAAAGAAACAACAGTATGTTTATGAATTTACCGTCAAGATGGATCCTAAATTCTACCCGTAGACAATAGCCAGACATCTATGTATATTTATAAATCTATGCTCAAAACACATGGTGCTCTATTTGTTTTGTTTGTCGATATTCGTCATAGAAAAAAAAATAAGGAGTGGTTACGGACCCGGGCTTAGAGTAAGAGCGTTTTCAGACTCCTTCCGATGACGACGATAGCGCCGACATCCGATAGCCGACACCATGTGCTTTTTCACATTATTTCCGACAAAATCGTTCCGATACGGCATTTTGCTCGATAGCAGGTCATCATGGCAGACTATAATAGAAAACTATATTTTGCTGTATTTTTGCTGTAATTTTCATTTTTAGACTATTATGTTTGAAAATAAATTTATATCTTTATCTTAGTATTGGATACATCCCATTGTGGAAGCTAAATATACAGAGGGAGCATTTTATACTCTTTTTATCTAGCTATAAAATGCAACTGGAAAGTTTAGATTTAGATTCTACCAGTTCAATTAATGAAATTAAATCTTATTTGATGACGCCATGATGACAACCAAAACATAAGCTCAAAATGACCGCAGCGTTCTTACGCACACAGAGACAATTTAGATAGACGGATAGAACACCTACAAACATAATGGTCTGACAGTAGCCCACGGGCGTCCGATGGTGCTGCCAACATATCGATGTCGGGCTCCGATATCCGATATCGTGCCGGACAATATGAAATACAGGTACATATTTCATACATTTTACTTGCCCCGATATCGTATCGGCGTCCGATATCGGTATCGGATCGGATAGTGTGGAAAGGCTCTAAGAGTGCGGGTTAGTGTTCGACTGTTTAGTGGCTGATACTTGAATCGACGAGTGCTCGTACAGCAATACTTAGTACCTCAATAATTAATAAAGTCATCATTTAAAATAAAAATGAATCTCGCTAAAACTAGAAAACGGCTGAAACGATTTGGTTACTTTTGGTCTTAATATAATATTAGTGGAAGTACAGGGAAGGTTTAAAAGGTGAATAAATAATTTTTAAGAAGTCCGAACTTTGCCGGGTTAGCCAATAAATAACATATTACAAATAAACTTATTTATATACATAGTAATCTTGGTAATATCAACATTTTGTCTCCTTTATAATAAACTACACGAATGAAAGAAATGAAAGAGTGAGAATCGTCAATTATTTTGTCTTATAAAAGTTGTATACCTTTTAATAAAAAATTATATACATTGTTCTATTTTATTATTTTCTTTTTTTTTCTTTTTATTTTCCGCAACCATTTCAACAAAATGTTTTATAATGAACGTTGCTGTAAGCGAGCGACCATAGATGTGATAATAGACAGCAAAGAAGGTTTTTTTTTCATTATCTTTTTTTTGGAGTAAGTCAAGTCAAGCGAGCGACACTTCGATTTTTAGGGAGCTTGCAAAAATATTGTAAAAAGTGAATTCTCAATTTATTATGACTGGTAAAAACCTTAATTAACATAAAATTACTTAAAGTGAAGTACAGAGTGCCAAAGACCGTTTCGACAATGATGTCCCATTACTACGAGCCTTACCATCGTTGTGAGACACTTGCTGAATTTAATTTTTATTTTGGTGGTGATAATGAAGAAGAAATGGATGATGACGATAATTATATTTACTGTTACTGCAGCAGAGTGTATATAAAGTAAGTAAAGTACCCGTTTCTTTTGATAATAATAATACTAATGATCGACTCGTGCCCATTTTTTGTATGCAAAAATGGAGGGAGTTTTTGATCATAGGCGATTTCTTTTATTTTTATTGTATTTTTGTGTTCCATGTTGTTTGTTTCATATTATTTTTACTATTTATAGAACTCTAGTCCGCTGACCAATACCTTGTGAAGTGAAGGCGTGACTGACAAAAAATATCAAATGGCTAGATAAATATTAGTTATCAAAATATTAATTTTAAACAAACCATTTCTCCATACTCTTCACTCTTCATTCATACTCCATATTCTTATTCTTGTGAAGAAGAGTATTTCTGCTACAGAGTACATCTCTTAAATAATCTTTGAATCAATATGTAGATTGTTATTTTTTTGTGAATTTGCCTCAGTAGTTTTACATGTAACTTTATCAAGTACCAAACAGTTTATTCAACAAAAATATCTATACTTTTCATTCAAGATAATCATACACAATGAAATGAAACTACAAAAATATTTAAAAAAAAAAATATTTTAACTTAACCATGAACTAAACTAACAAAATACTTCCAAATTATAGAAATCCATTATCAAAGTAATAATTTAAGAGAATAATTGTCACGTTTTTATGCCACTAAGGGACTGAGAGATGCAATAAAACAACACCACATGCAAACAAGTCACCCAAAACTACACTCAGCACATGTTCACAGAATACTCATGACACAAGTTGTTGTTTGGGAACTTTGTTTGCATGTTTTTATTGTATTGCATCCCTATTGAGTGTGTATTTATCTATATAAATAACTAGCTAATTCCACACGGTTTCACATGGTCTGCTCAGCTCCTATTGGTCATAGCGTGATGTTTTATAGCCTATAGCCCTTCTCTCGATAAATGCACTATCCAGCACAAAAAGAATTATTCAAATCAGACTTGTAGTTACGGAGATTAGCGTGTTCAAACAAACAAAAAAACAAACTCTTCCGCTTTATATAATAGTAAACGATAATTTATAATGGCTGAACCGATTCGGCTAATTTTGGTCTTGAAATGTTCATGGAAGTCCGTGGAAGGTTTAAAACGTGAGAAAAAAAATGTAGGTGGTACGAAGTCTGCCGGGGTTAGCTAATTTGAAATATATAAATCCTTCAACTTTGACTCTTGTTAGTCTGTAAGACATAAATGATTAAGGTATGATGTCATAATGAGTTCTAATAATTAATGTCTTGGTTTCAGAGATGGTGTTGACACCTACTTTGTTGACAAAGAGTATGCAAGTGAAAGTGATGTTGAAGTCCTGCGGGACTCACAGTCTCAAGATTTGGAGGACCACTCCCATGTGCATTTCTCTT